CTCGAACCACAGGCTTTCAAGGGCGGAGCAAAAATGCCCGGCAGTTTCGAGAGGTCAGGAGTCAAGGACCCAACCATATATATAAGCAAAGAAAGAAGGAAAGAAGGAAAGAAGGAAAGAAGGGAAGAAGGAAGGAAGGAAGGAAGGAAGGAAGGAAGGAAGGACGGAAGGACGGAAGGACGGAAGGACGGAAGGAAGGAAGGACGGAAGGACGGACGGAAGGAAGGAAGGAAGGAAAGAAACAAACAAACAACAAATAATGAAAGAAAGAAAGCGGGGGGGCCGGGTGAGGTGGATCGACCAAAGGAGCCTAAGCAGCAAACCTAAAAAGCCTTAAGAAAAGATCTTGAAAGAAATCAAGGAGAGAAAGGGGGTGTGGGTGTGTGGGGGGGGGGGAAGGTGAACGGCACATGGCCAGACACCCGATAGGCCGAATCCGGCGCACCTTTGACTGAAGATTTAACCTGAAACCTAACAAGCCTCTAGCAATGAAGGAATGACCAAGAAAGAGAATCAAGGAAGGAGAGAAGGCAAGACCGTGCATGAATTACTCAGTTTGTTTAAAAATATAATTGGAACACATGTGATTACATTCGCAGCATGGCATGACATTCTGTTGAGTATACAGTGGGCAATCTCGAGCAAACGGCTGATCAGTGGAAAGTCATGCAGGACGAGGAAATCAGTAAGGTATTACCCTTGAGGGCCTGTGCTAAACGCGCCCAAAGCTGGGGTCACACAGCAGACCTCTGTGGGACGCTACTGCGGCACACGCTTCGATCCATGCTCGCAAGAACTCTATCAGTTTGGAAGTTCCAGCGTTATTGCAATTAGACCTTTAATGCAATTAGACCTTGACATGGCTCAACGGTATGAAGTGTTGGGTCGGCAAGAGCAGAATGTTTCAACAAAGCGCGTGAGCCCTTTAGCGGCAAGTAGGGTGAACAGCTTGGACCTGGCTCCGGACCCCTGCAAATTGTCTAGTGGTGTCAAAGGTCCTTTGGAACAGGACTTGACACACACAGATATATATATATATATACAGTATGTACATATATACATAACATACACACATGACTTCCTTTCAATGGTTTTTTGCCGCTGTCAGGATCGCTCGCCAAGCCCGTCAGCACCATGGCTTCGGTGAATGCCTCGAAGAACTGATATAGTGAATTTGCAACGCAT